AATTTCCTTTTAAGCACGTGGTTGTTTTCACACAAGCAAACGCGATCGCTTACAAAGCCCCGCAACACACAGAGCCACTCCTGCTCGCACCAAGTCTGTTGTCTGTGAGCAGATGTGGTGGATTTCAAATGTTCGCAAGAGGGTGAGTGATGAAAGGGGAGAGCTGATGGTGCTGCTCCATTGAATACAGATGAGAGAAAGCCGAGCTGAATTCTGATCAGGCCTCGCTCCTGCTCCGTCCTCCCCAGAGTGAAAGCACTTTAGAGGCCTTCGGCTTTCTGAACTCAAGAGGGACGTCACATGGGCAATTTTTCGAACTCAAGGTGCAGAACTTCTTCCTCAAAGGAGCAACCATTACAGTGTTTCTTACTTGTAGAATTAATACGGGATTGGATCTTTAAATGGTAAAATGAAAATCCCATTTTATGTTTGAAGACACTAGAGGCTGCATTTGTTAGCATTTTTATCAGTGCTCTCTCACAACCTGAATATTTTTAAGTACTCCAACAGGGTTTTAAAGGCCTCGGGCTCATAAAAATCAGCCAATAAAGAACGCAACAGCCACTCTCTTTGCTTAGCTTGGAAAAATAATAAACCTTAGAAGAAAGTCTGTCTCAAAAAATTGATTTAGTTGGGTTCACTTCTAATTTATTCAGCAGAAGGGAGTGAAGCGAAGTCTGACGTGTGAAATGTGACTTCGATAGCAGTTTTGCAGTAATTAGTTGAAGACAATGTGTACTTTTCCACCCCGGAGCGGAATACAAATTCTTTTTTGTCTAAATGTCACCGGGGTCGTCTCACCGGCTCATTAAAAACAAGTGTGGAAGGAACAAATTAATGGGAGCCAAACACCTTTAGTTTTAATACGTAGGAGGGTAAACTGATACTGTAATGAAAAGCTCTGCTTCAGAATATGGGTTGGTTGACTCTCTGAGCCACTGGATGCAAGAAAAACCACTTTGACTTGGTCATAAAATAAGAGTTTAAACCAAGATGTCTCGATGCGTGCTCAATAATCCAGGTAGAAAATCTAACAAAGTTATTAGTCAGGTCAACTGGATGGATAAAAAAAAAACTTGTTAACCTTTCGTCTTGTATGCAAAAAACTTTCAGTCTGAGGAGCTGCAATAAACTCAGGTTTATAAATGGCACCTTCTCATAGTGGGAAAAAAAGATTTGTAAGCTCAACCATCCAGGTAGATAACAACAACAAAGGTTAAATCATTTCATCTGGACCAGTCATGTTCTCATAGTGGATCAACCAGTTTGTTGTTGACATCGAGAACTAGCTGTTCACATGATAATGGAGGAACATCGGCCTAATAATGGCTCGTTGCTGCCCTGATACCCGCTTGCTATTCACAGATGGGCTGCGTGATGTTTCTAAGTATGACGTCCCAGAGGCTTTCAAACCCAAACACGCATTACTGCAAAGACTAGTCCATCCAAAAGATCCAGTCTCCCAGCACAAATATTAATATTGTGCATGCTGTTCAATGTCAGGAGGATGATCAGTTTACCATCGGGGAAACTAAACAGCCACTGGCCAAAAGGATGGAACAGCTAGGCCTGTCGCAATAAACAATAAATCAATTAATCACGTTCATTTATCGGCTTTATCGTTTCTTCGTGTCTCTCTTTCTACTGAAGACACTGGATGACAAAAGGCTCAACTCCGGTGCTCTTCACTGACCCCTCCCTTTCTCTTTTTTCTTTAAAATCTGTTGTAACAATCCAAAATCACGTTTTGGATCGTTTAAAGCAGCTAAGCTGAGAAGCTAAGCTACGAGCTAAGCTAACAGGTCGACCTCGGGGGAAAAAACTTCCATCTTGTCGAAGCGCCAAAATTCACGGTTGAAACCCGTGCCTTCGTGTAAAAAGTTGTTTTTTCTGCAAAAAGAAGCTGAGAACTTTACTGTTTTTGTTGTTGTTGTTTTTTAATTAAAAGCTTTGTGTGAAAAATGCTATGCTAAAGAGCTCAAACCACACGGAGCGTCCACCGTTTTGAGAACTGAAGAAAAGGAATTAGATACTGCCCATGTCACGTCAAGGGACCTCCCTCGCAGTTTTCTTAGACACGCTGCTCGTTCCCTCACTATCCATCCAGTGGTCAAAAAAGGTCCTACACTCAAAACAAATTAACAAACATTTCTTCTTAAATTTGACAATAATTACTAATTATTGTTAAATTTCGAACAATATTATCGTTTATCGCTATAATTTCTGAGGCAATTAATGGCCCAGCACATAAGATCATCATCTCCAGGCCAGCGGTCACTCGTTCAGGGATGAAGATGTTCACGTCCTGGACAGAGAGGAAGGATGGTTTGAGAGAGGAGTGAAGGAGGCCATCTTTGTGAAAATAACTCGTCCATCATTAAACAGTCAGAGGCCTCCATGTCCAGCTGTCCCCGTCTTACAATGTTGTTATTGCAACACTCAGCCCTCTGTGAATATCAAGTGACCTTCAAGGCACTAACAACCCAACAACCAATTGTTAGGTTGATGGTCCTTTTTTAACATTTCAATAAATAAAAAAAATATATACATTTCATTTTTTATTTTTATCTGTCCAAAGGACCTGACTTAATTTTGTTGGATTAAACCAAGACGGTTTAAATATTTTACCTCGTGTAGAACGAGCAGAAGAATGAAACGAGCAGTTTGCAGACGGGTCGCATCCTTTCAGCCAGCAAACTGTTTGCAGTTGGTGAAGCGCAGACACCAAAGTCCCAGCGGGATTCGTCTTTTGGTGAGATTATCAACACTGTGATTGGTTGTAAACCCTGTTGTCACGGCAATGATTTCAGCCTTGATGATGAGAGCTTCTGGGACACCAACCCACAGCGTGCCCATACACACACGCATTTTCACTCTGTCTTACCGCTAACCAGCCTCATTCCCTTTCCAGAGAGAGGCATTAGTTGGCTAGATTGAACTCGCGTCTGTGTGTGAGGGTGTGTGTGTTGTTGTTGTCCATCTCCTAACTTACCGAGTAATGTACAGAACAGGAATCTGGGGAGAGGCTGAAGCTCTCAGGATTGTACTTGACACTTTATTCCTTCTTTTCCTGCTTTGTTTTTTCTCAGCTGGCCTTTTTTTTTAAGCTTTTGTCTTTTTGTCTCAGCTGTAATTAAAATTGCGTCAGTGACATCTGCATCACTCAAATGCACAAGCTGAAGGAAAATGAACATTTCTACTTTTTCAGTAACTTCAAATATGAAAGCCTTTTTTCAGATTGTAATCAGAGTTGTGTGGCTTCTAGATTAACCACAGACAGGTTGGTGTTTCACAAGTTGTCCACACAAACTAATATTAGTTTTCAGATGCCTTCATTTTAATCAACTTCATATCTACTATAACATGTGCTTCTATATTAAATTATTAACTTCTTTAAATAATCATCTTACCGTGTTTTCCACCGTACATGTCGCTCCGGTGTATAAGTCGCATCAGTCCAAATATGTCTTATAAAGTGGGAAAAAAAACATAAATATGTCGCATCTATTACACGTCACCACTGACAACACAGAAATGTGGGCCGGTGTTGTGCCAAAAATCGATTGGCTGCCAAATGGCGGCTGCGGGAGCATGCACGTGAGGACTTTAACAAGAATTTAACAAGATTAACACTTAAAAATAATTATTTATTTGCTCGACATTATAGCAAAGGTGTGTCTCAGTTTAACTTTTCCTTAATAAATGCACTTTAATGGTCAAATCAGCTGCATTTCACCTGGGCGACGCGGCGAAATGCAGATGATTTGACGTTTGTTCCAGGAGTTCCAGAGCGAGACGAAAGTGGCTTGGTATGGCAAGCCAAGTGTCTCATTGTTACGTCCACCATGAGCATAACGCATTAAAAAGGAGGACACGGGACTCACAAATAAGGATTCGAACATTAATTTTATTAAAACAGCTTCCTGCAGACGACAACAAAAAAGAAAGAACCCCAATCCCCATGTCCAGCAAAAAAAGGGACACAAAAACCCAAAGTATCAACTTAAAGATGGACCTGGGGAGCTGGCCAAACAAAACAAAAAGGTACAGCAGTGGGCCAACCCTATACTGGGCAGTCGAAGCCTCTGCTGATACCAGACTAACCTACAAAAACCCTTAAAAAACACCTATTACAAAAGAAAGAACGAAAACAGAGCTACCAGTCCCACCAGGCCAAAACACTACAAAAAGTTAACAAAAATTACCTGAGGTGGCTGGGAGCACCGACAGCAGGCTACAGCTCCAGGACAAAGGAGAGGAAGGGCCAAAAAACAGAGGGAGCCTGAGAGCGAGAGCTCCCTGGAACCAGCCTATTTATGGGCGGGTGGTAAAGGCCACAACACAATTTAAGGCTGATTAACCAAATCAAGACCTGTCCAAAAGGACAAAACGATAAGGCCAATGTGCTTGGCACATAACAATAAGACACTTGGCTTGCTATATTAGTCGAGGGCCCTCTAGTGGCTGAAAATGGTAGTGTTCAATATTTTCCATGTCAGAATGAATGAAATCGTCAGATCTCAGCCAAAAATTTGTTTATAAATATGGAAAAAAAAATACAAATACGTCGATTCGCTGTATAAGTCACAGTGCATGCTAATTTATGCAAAAAAGGTGCGACTTATACAGCAAAAAGTACAGTACTTGTTTTTTTTTTTTTTTTATCATCTTAATTCCAAACATCTTTGTCACCTACAGAGGAATCAATCCTCCTGATTTAAATGTTTTTGCTGTTGAAATTAAAAAGTTAACTTTTGTTTAAATGTAACTCCACAATGTAAAAATTCAGCAGCTACTCTCTGTGGATTATTCATTTTCCTTTACCGTGTCCTTTTAATATTAATCATCTGCAGATTCATCTTCACTCGTTTCTTAATTCAATATTTTTCTTTCTCCAGAATCCTGCTCTTCCTTTTTACGTGTGACAAAGATTTTATATTTTGTTTCTACGCTTTGCTTTTTGTCTGCCGGCTGAATATTTGTTCTCTCTTCTGATCCAGGGCTTGATGATCCTCCTACAAAACCTCCCCACAATGCACTGGGGCAATGAGGAAGTGAGCGTGCTGCTGGCCGAAGCCTACAGGTTGAAGTTCGCCTTTGCTGACGCGCCCAACCACTACAAGAGATGATGAGTGTGGCTCCGCCTCCTTTTCTGTCCCACAGGCGTCTGCTGGACTCACAGGCGTCCACGTGAAAGGACCCCCCCCTCCCCATTTTCTTAACCTCTTCTTCGCCCAGATTTCTGTGGGCCTTTCAGCTACTAAGAGATTGAAATCAGCCAGTGACAGGACATGCAGTGTAGCGTTCTAGCAGCTCTGAGATGTGCACTCCTGGATGCAGAAACGGATCCTAAACCTTCATGATTGAAGGTTTCTCGTTGGCGATTTGGACGTTAGCGTCTCAGAGGAGCGGCCCCAAGCCTGATGCAGGACTATGAGCTGTTGCTCAGCGCCGCCCGGGGATCCTTTCTTCATTTTACACTAACCTTCCAATATGTTGTTTTTTGTTTAAGGCAAAAATGTGACTTTTTTTTTTTTTTTTTTTTACACTTTAGAAGAACGTCGGTAGAAAAGGCTTTTCTTTTGGATGATTCAAATGCTGGTCGCTTGTTGACCCCGTGACCTGAAAGGCGTAGTTGAAGTGAGGTTTTGTGGAAACGTTATGAACGATTAATATCTTACCTGTTGGAGATGGCTCCTGCAATAACTTCATTGTGGGAAAAAAAATGTATATTTGTACTCTCATAGACCAGTTAATGGCAAATCTGACCGTGAGCATGACCAAAGTGGATTATGGACATCTTAAAAACTCCAATCTTAAAAAAAAAAAAAAATCATATTTGGATTATACATGAATAAAGGCCCCGCTTTTTAAGAAAGAATACACATCACCCAATGCGAGAGATTTAAACTAATATGACGAGAAAGGCCAAACTGTTTTGGTCATAGCATTATTATGGGATTTGTTTGTGTATATAATGAGAAAGACTCTGCTTGTACTAAACAAATTTTAGCTTGAGTTAAAGGTAATTATACGATTGGCTAAGTTGGGCGGTTAGTCATCTTGAAATTGGGTTGACTAAAATACTACACACTGTGTTGAGCTTGGACCATGTGTGTTGGGGATGACTCCACTATTACCACACCAAGTATTTGGTCAGTATGTGTCAAATTAGCCAGGCTGTAGCCATTTTTGTGTCTCCTAAGGCCAGTTGGCTGTGACACCCATCTTGCATTTGGTTGGCTTCAACTAAATTGCAGTTACTGAAAGCCAAGCTCAGGGGCCGAACATCCAGCAGTTATGGTCAATAAGTTTGTTTTATAGTTTAAAATCTAGTTTTATTTAAAAATGAACCCATTGGTGGGCCGAACTGAGCTCACCCGTGGGCCTGATTTGGCCCCCGGCCCGCCAGTTGCTCTAAAAGTGAATCAGTTGATGACTATCCTTTGAGGATTTCAGTAAAAGCTGTTCACTTATAATAATAAACATTTCTGCTGCTGTCGGTTTGGCATTCATTGCACAGCAGTTCCAGCAACATCTTTGAAGACGATCCGCTTTGGTCTTAGCTCCACATTTTATCTCTCCAAAAGAGGCATGCAAAACAGGTAAGATTCTGTTTGTTTGTAACCTTCTCGTAAAAGCTTACATCAAAAGATGGAGCTCGGAGGAACGTGACCTCTCCCGCTTCTTGCTTTGTGAGGGGTGGTACTTGGTGGTACTTTTTTTTTTTTTTTTAAGGATTTTATGAAGGGAAGCGTTTTCCTCCCACTTCTTTCTCAAAGCGTGCGCTCAACAAATCAGTCTCCCTTTCATCCTCCCACATCACAGCAACACGGCAGCGTTTGAGTGGAAAGCAGACAGTGGCAGGAGGCTGCCGGTCAAAGTCTCGTATGACATTAAACCGGTTAATAAGCCATCATGCGTGAAAGTTGCCCCACTTCGGTCACCTGCGTTTAAAATACTTTTAAAAACTCCTCTAAATATATTGACTACCTCAAATCTCTGACATTTTCGTCTCTTACACACCCGACGATCCACATTCTAAGTTGCAAAACTGATTAAAAAAGTGAAACCAACTTTTCAGAAACCAGATTTATTATTTTTGCCTGATTTAATAAAAGCGACACTCGGGTTTCTTTTGGCGTTCTCTCACCACTTCCTTTTTATTCTGGTTTTCAGCTTCCATTTTCACAGAAGTGCAGCAATCACATGAACCCTCATATTCTGAGGGTCTCGTTGTATTCGTGATGGTTCTGATGCTGTTCTGGAGGTTCAGCGTTTAGGAAAAGTCATATTGAGGCTGACAGTAATCCAGTCAGAGTTGTCTAAGACTCTTTCTGTTCAAGAAAACACAAGGAAGCCGTAGAAACCGTATTTATTCCTTGTATGAGGTCATCTTGTCCAGATGGTGATTTGAGACTGATTTGGTTAATTAAGTGTGTAACCAGCTCTGGTCTTAAAATCTCTGCACTTCTGCAAAACATTTTAGTTTCTACAAATTCGGTCAAAAAATCCCACCACGAATAAAATGTTAACTTACGTAAAGTTACACAATTATATTTTTAAATTAACACTGGGTTTCGAATGATTTTCTGTTTTAATTTTAGCATTGTTTGTTCAAATAAAAAATAAAAAGTAAATACAGCATCCAACTATGAATTAAGAACAACCCTCGTAAGCAAGAACCCTACAATGGTTCCCAACCATGGTCCTTGAGGAACACCACCCTGCATGGTTAGATGTTTCCCCACTCCAACACATCTGAGTCAGAGATTTAATTACTTCCTCAAGTTCTGTAGACTCCTGTTAATCACCCATTCATTCAAATCAGGTGTGTCAAAGCAGGGAAATGACTAAAATGTGCAGGATGGTGTTCCTCAAGGACCATGGTTGGGAACCATTGAATTAGTAATTATACTTTAAATATTTGATACCTCAACCCCCCCACCCCCAAAAGCAAACGCATAAACACACACCCGCTCGCTGTCCAGTCGCTGTCTTTCCAGTGCAGTTTAACAAATAAAAAACTTTTACGAAACAAAAGCTCCAGTAGAAAAGAAGGCTGATTTCACTCACAACCATAATTTCCACTTCATAATCCTTTCAAAATAAAGAATGGTAGCAGAAACATACGCTTGGGACACCTTCTCTCCCACGATGGGTGGTAGGTATTACAGACACACACACACCAAGAATAAAAATAACAAAATTTTAAAAAATCTGGAAAAGCGTCTGATGTTCATAAACAAAAATATAATTATGACAGTTGCCCTAATTCTTCAAATTTCCCATAAATCACTACCATTTCCTAAAAGTAATTTCTCCCCCAGTTAGCCTTTTGGATATTTACTTATACTGAAAATAAAACTTTTGCGAAACAAAGGCTCCAGTAGAAAGAAAAGCTGAGCTCACCTGCGACCATAATTTCCACTTCATAATCCTTTCAAAATAAAGTACGATGGCAAAAACACACGCTTGGACACTGTGACAATGTGGGACACCTTCTTTCTCGTGATAGAGGGATGGGTGGAAGGAAATCCCCCTCCACACACCCAAAAAAAAAACCAACTATCTGAAAAGCCTCTTAGCGTTTCACTACATTTGGTGTTCATTAACAAAAATATAATTATGACAGTTGCTCTAATTCTTTACATCTTTCCCTAAAAGTCATTTCCCACCCAGTCAGCCTTTTGGATATTTACTCTTCTACTGAATCAAACCGGAAATATAAACATCCTCGACCAAATCGATATCGATTCAAATTGATAATCAGACATTCGTGACATGACCAAAAGCGGTTAACATCCGGAGCGTCCTGCAGCGACGCTGCCAGGATCCATTATTGTCACCTGGGCCGGCAGAGACGGTGAGCGTGGGCGTGTGAAGGGGAGGAGGAGGGTGTTGTGTTCCTTTTTCACCGAGCGCCGTCGGTCTTTGATCACACTCTGGGATTTTTTTAACACGCTTGTCTCCCATGCTCTCTACGAGAAAAAAACTGCACCTAATTTAAAACTGCACAGCCCGTTTCCTTCCTGTGTTCTTCTTTTTGTTTTTATACAATCTACATATTTGTTCAGTCAGCTTTTTTTTTTGTAAATCATCACTTAGAAATTATTTTTTTACCACTTCAAATGTTTACATTAAGTTGTGCCTGACTGGAGACGCCATTCCAGTTGTTTCTGACCACCGATCAACATAAAACGTTTATTTTTTTCTCTGTGCATTTACATGGTCGTTTGCTAAACCTGTCCCCCCGTCCCTTTGCAGCAGGCCTGTCGAGCGTTGACGCTGCGTCCACGAGCAGCGGCGTTTAAAGGAGTTTGAAGTGCTAAAAGGTGTAAACATCTTCATCTGCGCCAACACAAGGTACATTAATTAGTCAGTGTGTTTTTCCCATGAAAGAAAACGACTGTTTGAACCAGTCAGTGACGCAATCAGAGCTAATTCTTTAAGCGTCATACATTTTACAGTTTGCTTTGTCTAGTTGAAGACCGTTTTGTGTTTTTTTCAGGGTTCAAGTTGGGGAATATGTTGACTGGGACATTTAGCTTCATTTACAAACCAAATTCAGATCCCAGTTTGCCGTATTCTTCGGACTATAAGGCGCATTAAGCGAAACAAAACGGATAAGTTCAACTTTATTCAACTCATTAACGATAACCACATAACATCAGTTCGAGGTCAGTAAGCACAACCAGGATTAATGCATAAGGTGCACCGGATTATAAGGCTCACTGTCGACTTTTGAGAAATTTAAAGGAGTTTAAGTGTTTTATAGTCCGGAAAAAAACGGTGTATTATTTTCACCAGTTGTACGGGCTTAAAAATAACATTTGGCACTTGACGAATTGATTCCGTCATGATTCAGTTGTGATTATAAAATGATTTTTATGCATCTGGATTATCTGCAGTTGTCAGATTTGTGAGCAAACACCAGACGGCAGCTGGTTATACCACACTATATCAGCATAAACACCATGAAATACAGAGAACTACACACATTGATCTTAAACACTGATTTATATATTTTTATACAACCTTGCTGATTGACAATTAGCATAGATGCTAACTTAACATGGAGAATGCCATAGAAAAGCTAAAAAAAACTAGCATTGTGTTAGCAGGGAGT